GGGTGTGTGTGTACACACATTACTAAAATGACATACCAACTTGTGAAACTTTAAAACATAGACTGAACCACATATCCCGAGCAATTCAGAGTGAGCTGATGACACATTTAACATACTTAACAGTGATGCAGAACGGCACAAAGGCTTTAACATTGCCCAGAGAGAGGAAACAACACTATAAAGGGAGTCCCAAGCCAGCAGCAACCTCCTAAATGCATCTGGCCGGGTATATAGGCAACTCTTCACAACATAACCTGGGAGCACTCTGGCTGACAGCTTCCCAGGACTAATCAACAGACTGCAAAGACCACAAGATACCTTACACTCATTTCCACAAGTCTCTTGGTGGGCTTAATGAGCTCTCTGCAGCTTGAGCTGGTCTCCTCTCTCCTTCCTGAGCAGAAATAGAGACACTAAACACTCACCCTAGATGATCTTAAGGTCCTTTCCCACCCTAACTATTCTATGATTCTATGATTTCTGACTTGTCACACAAATATTTCTTCCAGATATATGTTTGTATATATTTACTGTTACGGATTAAACATGTTTTATTTATTAAATATATTTTATTTATTAAATATATGTTATTAAATATATTTACCGTCATTTTCAGCATTTCTTCTTCACTGATTGAAAAACTGTGACACAGGTTCATGCCCACTATAAACACACAGAAATACTTCAAGAGCCTTCTCCTGATCAAAAAGGGTATTTAAAAGTGCCTACTGTTAAATAACTTCTTTTAACATGGCTCAGCCTTTGCGCACACTTATTAGAGCCACCCATGTAGGTGATCTTGTAGCAAATGCTCACTATGTATTACTCTATTTTCATATTCCGTGAGTTATCACAGTCATTACAGTTTATGAGCTGCAATGTCCATTCAGTACAGACTGAACAAACAAACCAAGCAGGAGAATAGAAAAAGCAATGTAGCTCAAAAACCCCAATAATGAACACATGGAAATGATCTAATGTTGAAACGGCCCAGTGATACATACCAAACACACAATTTCTAGACAACAACAGCGCATTTCATGGTAAAAGTAACAGTTTTAGTCAACACAGGCTACTGAACTGCCAGTGCCTCAAATGAAACATTAGTCTTAAAGCTAAATTGAAGAAATCAGCTGCCATGGACAGAAATTGTACCAAACTCAGTTTTCTTTGTGGGTCAAGTATCAAGAGGGATATAAACCAGGGTGCGCACAATAAAAGTTCAGCAAAACACAAGTTGCAAGAGATCAAGTGAAAAACCAGAACAACCAAGGCTAGCAAAAAGGACAGGAACCTCTCAGCAGAGCTGGTGGGGACTGGTACATAGGAAAGGATGTAAAGCTTAGTGCCAATGCCTGCATAAAAGCCCATATACACCACACCATCTTGCAGCTAGTCACAAAAAATTCATCCCTGTAAAAGACAAGTAGGAAAAAAGGAGATGCCAGAACATATGGTATTTTTAGGTACATGCTGTGATCTTCAGCATTCCTAATGTCATCTTCATTCTGGGCACCAAGCTTCATCTGAAAGCACAACCATAACACTCACACATTCATGCAACTATCGTGCTGCTCCAGGAGAGGCTCTCTAGTGTCTTGAATACGTCCTATTTGTACACCAAAAAGCCTTAGTCAAAGTTCATGTAAAAACTGGAAAATGCTCACAGAATTTTAATCAGCTTTAACCTGACAGAGGGGAGATTGAGATGAGCTCTTAGGCAGAAGTCCTTCCCTGTGAGGGTGGTGAGGCCCTGGCACAGGGTGCCCAGAGAAGCTGTAGCTGCCCCATCCCTGGCAGTGTTTAAGGACAGGTTAGATGGGGCTTGGAGCAACCTGGTCTGGTGGAAAGTGTCCCTGCCCATGGCAGGGGGTTGGAACTGGATGAGCTTTTAGGTCCCTTTCAACACAAACCAGTCTGGGATTCTGTGGTTTTTAAAATGTCAACTCTGACAATCAAGGCAACACTCAAGATACTCCCCTAGTAAACAAAGAGGAACAATTCTTGCTTTAAAGAAGCAATGTGCCAAATCAGAGCTATCAAAACAATTTCTTTCCCATTATTTCCTGATTTTCTGCTCATTCAATGTACAGACAACTAACTAGTATTTAGAAGGAACATGGGAGGGAGGAGGTGGTTCTATTTACTCAGGTAAGTACTTGGGTACAGTAAAGAGTTTGTTTTAAAATATTCATATTATATAAATGTTAGTTGAAGTTGACAGTAAATACTGAATAGACATATGAAAAGGGCAGCATGTCATCTTCACTTCTCCCATGCTGTCTAACATTCAGGCAGCTGTTTGCTCTGATTACATCCATTTTCTTACAGAAAATTAATTTTAAAAAATCATACCAAAATGATGATCGAAAATGACAGATGAAGAAAGGAGGGAGTTTAAAGATCCTACTGCCCACAAGAGATTATGATCAAATTATGAGGACTAGTACACAATTTTTACCAGTAATTAGTACCTACTTTTTAGGTCTCTTTTTCAGGACATTAGAATGAAAGACACATGGAGGAGTGAGGTCTAAAGCTATTGTAATTTTTCAGCGCAAGGTAAGGAAGCACCAGGAATGTGCTGTTGCTAAAAAAACTCTTTCCACCATTTTTTTTTCTAAGTGATGTACGACAAAGTGTGTCGTAAGTGTTCATGCAGATATAGCAAAGACCAAAACCACTCCTGAGACAGGGACAGAAAACATAGGACTAAAAGTGGTGTGAATGTCTCAAGTACATGTGTCCCATTGTGTATACAGGCAAAATGCTACGATCCCCTCCTGTCTTTTATAATATGGTTTCTAAATCTGGCATTACTTATCAAGAGAGCTGGTACTGCTTACATCCTTTCTGAGCTAAAAAAATTCTCCCTTGCCTGAAAGACCTTATCATAAATGTCTCCACCGCACCTACACGTCTAAAGATGCAGAGTCTGAAACGGATGATGGGTCTATTGGATTCAAAATGCTGCATGCGTGTCATGGTTTAAGCCCAGCCAGTAACTCAGAACCACGCAGACGCTCACTCACTCCCCCCCACTTCTTCTTCTCCCCACTCCAAGAGGGGTGGGGAGGAGAATCAAAAGAATGTAACTCCCACGGGTTGAGATAAGAATAGGCCAGTAACTCAGATATAACACAAACCCACTACTGCTACCACCAGTAATAATAATGATAAGGGAAATAACAAGGGAAAAGAATACAATACCACCCATTGATACCCAGCCCGACTGAGCAGTGAACTATCCCTTCCGGGTAACTCTCAGTTACATCCTGGGCATGACATGCTGTGGTATGGGATACCCCTTTGGTTAGTTCGGGTCAAGTGTTCTGTCTCTGCTTCCTCCCGGCTTCCCTTCCTCCCTGGCAGAGCATGAGACTCAGAAAGTCCTTGGTCAGAGTAAACATTACTGAGCAACAACTAAAACCATCGGTGTTATCAGTGTTGTTCCCAGGCTGAAAGTCAAAAACACAGCATTGCACCAGCTACTAAGGAGAAAAAATGACTGCTACTGCTGAACCCAGGACACTGTGTGATGTGAACAGAGATCTGAAGAGGGAAGAGATAGTGCCATCTAATTTCCTCCTAATCTATTATTGACAGAAGTCTGCCTGCTACTAGAGGGTTACTGGTGTTGGAGTACACATTCCTCATGTTTCTTACAATCCTCCAGGATTTATGTTAGTAGATTGTATCAAGCCTGTATAAATGCAACTGTATTCACAATTACATTAGTTTACCTTCATGACTAAAATACTTTCTTTGTCTTTTGGGCTGTCTGCATTTGTCTATAACCGATGCTTCTATTTTCAGCACTTCTGAACTAATACCTCACTATGAATGCTTCCTTGTTCAGTAGCCAGGCTGAGTTCAAGCATTTTTGTAGAGAATGTATTTTTTAAATTTCCTTTTTTTTTTTTTTTCTTTTTCCCCCTCGATAATCAACCAAATCAAAATGCTTGAAATATTTATGGAACACTAATGAGCGAAGAGCTTCAAATGGCTGCAGTGAATAGAGAAGAATTTTGAAAGCCAAGGAGCTACTTAAGCATTGTTTTAGCTCTTCTTTCCTCCCTCATAATCAGCAATGTCTTTCTGCAGAAATCTTTCGCTGCTAAGCTGCCATGTACAGTTTTTGGTTAGAGAATTGCTACTAAGGTATTCTTTTCCACCAGCCTTACACTGACAGAGGATGTAGAAGCACACACGTCAGGAAGCAAAAATTATTTTTCTTGGGAGGCTTTTGCCACCAGCAGTTTGATGATTTTGAAGTCTCAGACTTAACTTCTCATTTGGCATAGATGGTCATAGTCTTTAGGCTGGAAGTGAGAAAACACATGTTCTTTTGCAAGCGCGCTCAGGCCACAGGCATGCTAGGCTCATCTCTCCCAGTTTATGTAAAGATCTGCCCCTCTAATTACCTGGAATAGAGAATGCAGAAGGAAAGGGAAAGGAATGGAAGGCACAGGAAGGAAAGGGAAGGGTAAGAGTCCTTCTGCCTGAAGACTAGTATTAGTACAAGAGGTACATAAACACATTTTGACAAATCCATTTTTGTGTCGCCTAAGTGACTCGCTTTTCAAAGATTCAACTCAGCAGTATTCACTGGTGTGTAAGTGCAAAGTCTTCAGAGACATTTCTGGCAGAAGTTTGGCTTTGTTTTTTTATTTATGTATTTTTAGATGTTTTATTGTGTTATTTTCTTTTAATTTCAGGAAGCTAAAAGGGAATAACTGAAAATACTCACCTTTTTTCAAACATGCCCCACACTCACAGGTCCTGGCATCCAGAAACATGCATTCCCAGTGAACCTCCAAAACACTGACTGTTTCAGCATCAGGATTCTTCACGTTTACCTCAGGCTGCCATCACAATTAGGAACATGAGGAGACAGACAAAAACATTCAACAGATGTGTTGTTCTGTTCCACTTTTGAGTCTTACATCTCCACTGCATTTATTTTAGACTCTTTTTTTTTGACCCAGATCCAACCTTGGTGTGGTTGTGCTGAAATACGTGGCTTTACATTGTGGAGTTTTTTGGTCTGCTATGCTAGCATCCCTATTTATTCATAATCAGCCTGCCTTGAGGTGTTTTCAAGGTTTCCTTTATTTTCAGCTGAGTGAAGAATTGCTCCTATAAATAACACTCTGATATGGGGAGAGAGGGGAGAGATATTAAAGAATACAACCCAGAGCTACATAAGTACAGACAACAAAACTCCTTGATAGCTTTTATTCTATTATCACAGAGCACTATTTCAGCTAGCACTACTGAGGCAATGCAAGACTTTACTACTGGGCATAAACAACACATAATGAGCATCTCTGGGATCCTGGGTAACTCTCATTAGTGGGGGAAGCTCTTTGTAAGTCACATGTTGGGTTTACCACCTTATTTTATTAACTCTGACTCACTAGACAGCAGCAGTGCTCTGCACTACACCAACAGCTAACTTCTCCAGGGCCCACTGTGTGATGGGTTTCCTGATGCTGACTTTTGGGGTATTTTTCTGATGAGAGGATCATGCAGGTGATGTGCTTGGGTGTTGCTGGAACACCAGCTGGAGACAACAAATAAAAACAAAGGTCTGCCTGGATTTCTGTGCATGCAGCGCTCTGTACATAGCTGACTGAGCCAGCCGTGCCTCCTCCCCAGGCAGCACGGGGAAGTATAAAACTTGTCACTGACCTCCATCTCCTCTCCTAGCACAGGGACTGGGATGAGGAAAAAATTGTCTCTTGACCCGTGTCCCCTTTGACAGCATGGAACTAGGACATGTCACTGCCTGGCCCCTGCCACTCAGACATCTCCCTTGGGGCCACTTTCATGACTTAGAGATCTACAAATCATGGTATCATACAATCCCAGACTGGTTTGGGTTGGAAGTCACCTGAAAGCCCATCCAGTTCCAATGGCCCGCACGTGCAGGGACACCTTCCACTATACCAGGTTTCTCCAAGCCCCGTCCAACCTGGCCTTGGACACTGCCAGGGACAGGGCAGCCACAGCCTCTCTGGGCAAACTGTGCCAGGGCCTCACCATTCTCACAGGGAAAGAACTTCCGCCTAAGAGCTCATCTCAATCTCCCCTCTGTCAGGTTAAAGCCATTTGCCCTTGTCATGTCCCTAGAGGCCCTTGCCCAAAGCCCCACTCCAGCTTTCTTGCCCCTTTAGGCACTGAAGCTGCTCTAAGGTCTCCCGGAGCCTTCTCTCCTCCAGGCTGAACAAGCCCAGCTCTCTCGACCAGCCTTCACAGGGGATCACTGTTCTTGTGAGGAGCGCAGAAACACGGGCTCAGTGTATCAACAGGTAGATACAGTCCTGACCCTCACAAACACCGCTTTTAATATGATTAATACAAGTAAAATAGAATAATATTCTTGGGGTGTCAGGCTTTAATTTATTTTTTTTTTACAAACAGAATCAGCCAAAGGCTTGTAGTAATACTGGCAAGTCCCTGGAATACATTTCTTGATGCCAAAGGAACTGAGATGGAGAATAGAGGCCTGTGGCACTTTCACTGAGTGTCTGAAGAATGCTCCTGTCAGGTTGTTAACTTGCTCCCAAACCTCCAAACACACCAGTTACTTTGCTCATTACACTCTTCCCTGTGAGGCAGTGGATGGATTTGAAAGTTCTCTTTCTAACCTTCAAGACATCCAGTGGTCCAGTTTCTGTCAACTGGCACAAGCTCTTCTCTCTTCTGGCACTGCAGATTAGAGTGCTGTTGTGGTTTAATCCCAGCCAGCAACTGAGCCCCATGCAGCTGCTCATTCACTCCCTTCCCATGGGATGGGGCACAGAACTGAAGAGTAAAAGTGAGCAAACTCACTCTATGAATCCATTCATCACCTCCCATGGTCACGTAGTTCAGTCATCCCCAGCACAGCAGGGCTCCATCACATGCAACAGTGACTTGCAAAGACAAATACCACCACTCTGAACATCCCTTTCCTTCTTCTTCCCCCAGCTCTTATATCTGAGCATGATGTCCTATGGTCTGGGATATCCCTGCGGTCCGTTGGGGTCAGCTGTCCTGGTTGTGTCCCCAGCTCCTAGTACACCCCAGCCTGCTTGCTGGTGGGATAGGGCAAGGAGCAGAAAAGGCCTTGGCTCTTGTGTCAGCACTGATCAGCAGTAATGAAAACGCCCCTGTGTGATCAGCACTATATCCAGCACAAACCCAAACCAGAGCCCCACACCAGCTACTGTGGAGAAAATTAACCAGCCAAAACCAGCACAAGGGTGCTGCCCATCATCTGCTGCTAGCTCTAAAAGAACTTCACCTTTCTTTGCATTCCACATTGGAACACTTTGCCAATTTGTAGTCCACTCAGTCATAGTAATATTTTTTACACACAAATGCTGCTCTGATGATGTTTTGATGTTCAGGACAAAGAAGAAATCATCAAAACCATTTGGTGCTTTTTAAAAGGCACCAAATGATGAAACTTTGATGTTCAGGACAAAGAAGAAATCATCAAAACCATTTGGTGCTTTTTAAAAGGATATACTACTGTTACACACATTTATTCCTAAGTTCTCACATGCAGTGGTCAGGTGAAGTCACAATACACCACAGGCCTGTCAAGCTCCACCACGCTGTTCACCAGCATGGCAGATGCTGCTCACCAGCTTGACGTTTTAGGAGAAAAAGGACATGTGTGCTTGCTATCAAAAAGTACATTTCAAGTCAGCTCACTTTAACAGAACAGTAACCACCTCAGAACGACAGTCAATAAAATGAGGAGCACTTTAAGGGGCAACTTTGGAGCCCCCAGTTTGAATAGTTTGTTGTGTTCCTGTTTGGAAGAGCCTGTGCTCCAGTTAACATGAGTACTCTATGCACAGAGACACATACGTGTGTGTGTAAATGTGTGTGTGCATGGCATAGCAGTGGGAAACAATATAAACACAGATGTACTCTTGTACAGTTAAAATAATTTGTTCATAATTTTGTAATACGATAGGTTGGGAGTGGGGATTAGTATCTAGAAAACTCAGGCCAAACCAAGGTACACACAAAGATGAACCCACAGCCTTTGTAGTCCTAAATTCCTGTCTCATGGCATGGCACTCCAGGTGAAATGAACACAAATGCAATGGTCTCCTTTTTGCCTTGGTTTCTTGTGGAAGTCATCAGTGGTACTGCAGTGTAAACTCTTGTGCATGTGGCAATCTGTCTGCTGGTGATTTCTCATTCTGTTTGGAGCCCTGAATCAAACATATTTGTAAAGTTAGTCTCAATTACAACTACACCCTCTGTAGGTCAGAACGACTGTATGTGGTCCAAACAGACATGCTCTTAAAATAGGAACTTGCATTTCTCATCTATCAATCATGAAATACCAGTGCACAACCAGACTTAAATAGTTCCACTATTCACAGAACTGGCTTAAATGAGTGCAGCACCCATCCACCTAAGTCAAAAGAACCTCTGAGTAAACCCCTCCCACCTTATATGCTAAGTGCATATATTCCTATTTTAAAATGCTAGGAAATACCTTTAGTGTACTCAAAAGATTTAGTTATTCATCTAAATGGAAATGTTACATTCTGAAATGTTTTTTTTTTCCGAAAAAGAAACTAATGAACTCTCACTGGATTACATTTTGATGGTTTTGGTAGCATTTTTCTTCAATATCCTTTCACATGTCGAATTAGGCTTTAAGTGAAGGTTTTCTTAACAGCTTTTACCTTACAAAAAAGAGAAGTATTCCCAAAATGGGATTTGGACCCTTGACAGGACCAGGAAAAATATGGTAAAATTTTTAGGGGGCCAGAACTGCACCTCAGTTCCAGTGCGTGAATAAGGGCAGATGATTCATTATTTGATTCAGACCCTCTGAATGACTGTCAGAGGCAGTTAAATCTCTTTGGTAATCAGCCAGAGAGACTCTGGAAGCATTCAGGCCATCCAAATGGGACTTGCAGGATTTATGGATATACTGTAAGTGATAAACCTAGTGTTACATTTCCGATCAGCTTTTAGAAGTCTCTGAAGCTGGGTCTGCTTCACTATGTGGAAAAAATACTCAGAACCTGTGAAGATGCTCTTTAAATTTTCTCATACATCCAGTGAGAGGCAGAACTTCCACAAGGGTAGGAAAACATCAAGAAAACTCATTTCTTCGTGCCGCTCGTTTGTCCTTCACAAAGTAACAATGGTGAAGATGGAGGAAGTTCTTTAAATGCATGCCTGTACCTGATTCAGTCACTAGCATGTTTTATATTTTGGCTTCTGCTAGACAACTGAAAACCCATCACGCAGTGGGAAGCGGAGCTCTTCTTCTTTTATAGAATCCCAGACTAGTTTGTGTTGGAAGAGACCTTAAGCTCTTCCAGTTCCAATCCCCTGCCACAGGCAGGGACACCTTCCACTAGCCCAGGCTGCTCCAAGCCTGTCCAGCCTGGCCTTGAACACTGCCAGGGATGAGGCAGCTACAGCTTCTCTGGGCAACCTGTGCCAGGGCCTCAGCACCCTCACGGGGAAGAACTGCCTAAAAGCTCATCTCAGTCTCCCCTCTGTCACACTGAAGGCATTCCCCCTTGCCCTGTCCCTACAGACCCTTGTCCAAAGCCCCTCTCCAGCTTTTGTGTAGCCCTTTTAGGCACTGAAGCTGCCCTAAGGTCTCCCCTTGAGCCTTCTCTTCCCCATGCTGAACAAGACTGTAAGCGGACCAGAGACTAAACGGCGAACATTCTTTTGCCTTGAGGCGCCGCAGGGGCAGACACTCCGCACAATTCCCTCAGGTATTAATGGCTCTGCTCCCTTCCCCACCTCGGCGGCACACTGGCAGGCCCGTGAGTCGCCGGCTGGCCCCCTTCTCCCCAGGCTTGCCGGGAGGGCCGCGAGACACCTTCGGGGCTCATCGCTAACAGCCACGCCACCAAGCACAACTCAATCACAGCACCGTACTGCGCGAGAACCTGCGCACTGTAATCCACTTCCGGTCTTAGTCCACTCCCGCCCCTGCGCATGCGCCTCGGCCAGCCCAGACAGCGGGAATACGAGCAGGGCGCATGTGCATGGGTTCCACCGTTCTCCCTGCCGTTTTGCCGCTGAGTTGCCCTGTCTTGTCGCCCGCTCCCGCTTCTGTTCCCGTTCCGCTCCCGTTCATCTCCTAGTGCACGCTAACTCCGACACCCCGCGGCTTCCGGCAAGGCGTTTAGCGCTCGGATCGACCGCTTCGCGTCACGTGACCGGGGTCGTGCCTGCGCCCTGGCTGAGCCGGGCTGCACACATAGTGCCTGATGGGGCTGGTGCATATACACTACAACGGACCGTCCGCTCCGGCGGCGAAATTTCTCTCCGATTATTCTCTCTGCATCGGGGGCAGAAGGGTAGGTGCGGTGGCGTCTGCCCCGCCCCCAGAACTGCTCGCCCTTTTACGAGCAGGCAGTTGGTTAAACAGCTGAAGGGGGGCCTACGTGCTGTGGGGTCCTGGCGTGACCTCTGCGACGGGCGGGAGCCGGCGGCGAGTGTATGTGCTGCGAACGGGGCCGAGCCGAGCGGCGGCGGCGGCGGCGGCGGCGGCGGCGGCGGCGGCGGCTCGGGCACCATGGTGAGCCCGCGGGGCCGGGAACGGGGTGAGCCCGCCGCGGATGCGCCCCTCAGCTTGGGCTCTACGATGTGGCTCTGGGGATAGGGGGGTGGACGGGTGGTACCAGGGAGCTTCGTTATTAGCGCGCATCTGCTCTGGTGTTCACTACACCTGGTTCATCCCCGGGTTAGTGGCATGTGCGGTGGTAGCACATGGGTTACTTGGTTTGAGAAGAACCCTGCCTCGGGTTACTTGACAGGTGTTTTAGCACTGACACTGCTTAGTGTGTTACGTGTAACACAGTTTAAATGGACCCGTAGTAGCAGAAGAGTGAAATTTGGCCGAGGTTATTCCTGCTAACTATACAGAATCATAGCATCATTGGATGGTTTGGGTTGGAAGGTACCTCAAAGCTCATCTATTTCCAGCGGCCTGCCTCGTGCAGGGACACCTGCCACTAGACCAGGCTGCTCCAAGCCCCGTCCAGCCTGGCCTTGGACACTGCCAGGGATGGGGCAGCCACAGGTTCTCTGGGCAGCCTGTGCCAGGGCCTCACCCCCCTCACAGGGAAGAACTTCTGCCTAAGAGCTCATCACAATCTCCCCTCTTTCAGGTTAAAGCCATTTGCCCTTGTCATGTCCCTAGAGGCCCTTGTCCAAAGCCCCTCTCCAGGTTTCTTGTAGCCCCTTTAGGCACTGGGAGCTGCTTCAAGGTCTGCCTGGACCCTTCTCTTCTCTAGGCTGAACAAACAGACTTCCTTCGCTATAAAGATATGTTGAATTTTGTATTTACATCTTTGTTGCTGTTTAAAACACTACAGTTGCTTGGCTCTGTTAACATACTTTACAAAGTATATGGAGATCCATAGGAATACTTGAGTGCAGATATAAAAACTTATTTTGTATGTGGCGTTAATACATATATTTATTTTCCATGTGGATGTGAATGTCAGTGCGCCATTTAAACTATGGCAACATAACGTTTGTTCGAATTATGGAAGTCTTGCTTAGGGAGTAAACTTCAGAGTTACACTTTGGGTAAAGTCTGACTTTAAGCTCTTCTGATTCTAGTAAGGTTATTTTAATAGTGTATGTTTCGACATCTGAAAAGAACTGCAGAGTTAGTTTTCTCATTATGGCTTTTCCTCTGTTCTTTTATTTTCTTTATCTTTTTCTGTAGGGGTTATTTAATCAAAAAGTCCTGAGAGACTCCTGTCATTTGTAGGAGTGAGTGGGTACTGTCGCCTAGCTCTGTATTTGAAGCTACTCTGGGACATTTGGAAACACAGCTCTTTCTCTTAGTGTAGGTCCTCATTTAAATAGACTGAGTGCTTCCTTCTGTTGCCTGATTGAATTGTAAAATCGGGTCTATTTTTTTTTCACTAGCTGCTGGCAGCATGGACAAATAATCTTTTTTGTGTGATTCCATGATGTAAGCAAAGTGAAAAGATGATAGTCTGCTACTTCTGTGTTGCTTGGAAGCTGTATTCTCCACTTCCAAAGCAAAAGGAAAATGAAACGTTCAACAGGTTCTTTTGCACTGAGAGGCCTGTAAATCAGGTCACCCAAATAATTCAGTGGTAGCAGTCTGCCAAGTTGGGACTGACAGGACTCAGAGTCTGTGTAGCTCTGAACTAATTTTACTTGTAATTTAATAATATGCTGAATGTATATTGGTGTTCTGCACAACAAACATTCTGTATTGGCTTCTTCAGTAATGGTAATTCTGCAATCTTATAAATGCTCTTGATCCAGTCATAGAGTTTCTAAAGCAATAACTTGATTTTCCTAATGAACACTAGTTCCGTAGTCTTTGTGCTAAGAGCCTTGGTGAAAAAGGAAGCAAGACTGTCAGCTAAACTGCAGTTGGCTGGCTGGAATGTAGTTTTGGTTTTAAACAGCACACCTTGTTTCAGAGGGTGTCATGCTGCTGGTGACTGCTTCAATCTAGCAGTTTATGGCTCTCCTTTGAGCATGTGGAGAGGCCCTGTCAAGAGAGAATGAAGGAAAGCCCTGCAGAGGTGAGCAGTTTGGTGGTAGTCCCAGATTCCTTGGATGCTCTTTGAGCTACTTTATATGTCTTCTGTTCATCTCTGCTGTGTTGTAAACAGTGGTAGGTGCAGGGAAAAAAATCAGGCAAGACTTGGTCATAAAAAATCTGAATTTTGAAGGTGTCTCCTGGCATTGATTTCTTTCCCAACATAATCTTTAAGAATGTTTGATTTTTACAGATTGTAAGATTTGAACTGGCTCTGATTGCTAACTACACAAGGTATAATTCTGACTATAGGTATTTTGTGAAAGTAGTCTTCATTTTGAGACTTTGCACAGTAAGCTCACTGTTCCTTGGCCATCCCATGTAATGTTTTGTACTGTTTAGGAAATTACTTTGAATTGCATTTATGTTTCAGGATAGCACTGTTTTGCTTTTGCAAACTGCAGCTTAATGGACATATACATATGAAAAAAAATTTGTGTATGGAATAGTCTTGTTTAATAGCATGAGCAATAATATGTCATTTATTAAATGCATTTCAAACAGCTTGTATCAGTGTAGCTTCTAGGTTTCATAAATGCCATTGCGCTTTTGGAACTGCAGAAGATGAAAGTATTTATTATACTCCCCTGGAGACCTTGCAGGTCGGTACTTATTTAAAAGCTTTTCCATTTCTTACTTGAAAATTCACAACTTTGTTAGTATATTTATGTGCTGCCACTGGAAGAGATTGATAGGCAATGAATACTTCTGTTTTTATAAGACTTGCCACTTCAGAAAGTAAGTAGCTGGCATTGTGCTTCTGAAGGTGAAGTTGTAAATTGGATTCTGCCAGCTGCTTTTTCAGGCGTGCAGTTATATTGCTGCTGCAGTCCTGGTGCATACAGCAGTTGTCTTCAGCTAAAGGCCCTGCAGTGGAGGAGGTGGTTAAGGTTAGAGAATGAGTACTTTCAAAGTCCTGTGTTAA